AGCTTTTGGCGAGTGACCAAACTTGTGTGAGGTCTCGCGTTGTCTTGGTGAAACACTACACCTTTCCTGTTGATTAGTTCTGACCTTTTCTGTTGAAGTGCATCATTCAGTTTGTCCAGCTGATGACAGTAGACTTCCGAATTAATCGTTGTGTTATCCGGTAAAAGCTCAAAAAAAACGATTCCTTTAAAATCCCACCAAACAGACAGCATCACCTTTTTTTGGTGAATATCGGCTTTGGAAATGGTTTGAGCCGGTTCATCTTTTTTGCTCCATGACCTCTTGCGTTTGACGTTGTTGTATACAACCCATTTTTCGTCCCCAGTGATGATGCGCTTCAAAAACGGATCATTTTCGTGACGTTTGAGAAGCGAATCGCAGACGTCAATGCGGCGACACAGATTTCTCTCTGTGAGAACATGGGGAACCCATACATCGAGCTTCGAGGATAATCCCAGGCCTTTCAAGTGGTCATAAACTGTTGAATTTGATAAATTTAACCTCAATCCGATCTCACGTGTTGTTATTCGCCGGTTCACATCAACTAATGCCTTTATCGCGTCTTTATCAGCTTCAACCGGCCTTCCCGAACGTGGTGCATCTTCGACATCAAAATTGCCGGATCGAAATTTAGCGAACCAGTTCTGGCACTGGCGTACTGTCAACACACCTTCTCCATACACATCAGTCAATTTCTTTCTGGCTTGAACAGCATTTTTACCCTTTCTGTAGTAAAACAGTAAGATATGTCGAAAATGCTGCTTATCGCTCTCCATATTTAAAAGGGCACCAACCAAAAACTACTGCGTAGAATTAATTGGAATTTTTCACACACAAGCCTTGCTATATGAGCTCTCAAAGCATATAAAAATTATACGGCTTAAATGTGAAGTTGGGTGAAAAATAATACAATTAAATCCTCTGTCGGGAAAAAACGAAATGACTTTCCGAACAACCCTATATTATATTGAGTTAGCTGAGAATGAAGGATGTATATTTTTGTTTTAAATATGTATATCTTTATTTAATGGTGCCATCCAATTATAGTTCTAAGTACAGTAGCCTATACGGAGTGAAAAACGAAAAAGGAAATAACTTTTTTTAGAATCCCAAAATCGCAGCATATGCTACGTGCAGAGAACTCTCTCGGGTATAAAAACACGTTAGACGGATAAAAGTTTTAAACAAGGCGTGCCTGAACATGGAAACGGTTAAACTTATAACACTTGAAAAAGTGTAGATTAGATACCTACCCACGACATATCTCTACACGAATTTTTTGTTTTTGATTTCAGAAACTTTTACAGTTTGCTACCCTTGGGTAGGTATAATTTGAGCCTTTAGAAATTAGACTCTATAAGCCTTTTTATATATAAGAAAATGTAAAGTAAAAGAAAATTCGGAGATCTCTTTTGGGAGTACACATACAAGTAAGGCAAAAAGTTCGCCAAACATACAAATTACACATTTCTTTGTCAAAAGTTTTACATTTTATGTCACACAAACGAAAATGCAAAATTTAATAGACGTGTATATACATTTCTTTAATCACGCCTATCACAAAATGTCGCCTATCTCAAAATGTCACCTATCTCAAAATGTCGCCTATCTCAAAATGTCGCCTATCTCAAAATGTCGCCTATCTCAAAATGTCGCCTGTTTTTGTGAAAGCCGTTCTAAACAAATCTGGTGATGAACAAATCAAGACCAAGATCAAGACTGTCCCAATCAGCCACTTCTTCTAATTTTTCATCCTCGCTCTTTCTCTACTTTTTCTTCCTTTGCATACCAGTATTTTTGTTTTACTTTTATTTATTTTTATACAGTACTGTTTTGTCAATACCGCTTCCATTTTATTTAAAGCTTTCTCTAACTTCTACGTAATGTTAAAATCTAGTAAACCAAACTGAAAATTTCGAATACTAAAAATGTTTTGTTTCAAGAAAAAAATACTTATAATAAAGTTACTTCAAATAATTTAATTCGTAAATCCATTGAAAGTAATAGTTTTTCGTTTAGTATTGCGTATGTGGTCTTAATCTTGCATATTTGGTCTTGGTTTTGATCTTGACCTTGTTCGTTAGCCTCTTGTTCATTCGACCTTGGTCTAATCATCACTAGACAAATCGAACTCTCAAAATCAATCAAGCAATTCCTTTATTCTCAATTCGCTGCTAGTGTGCAAGCAAACAAAATTAGTTATTAAGAATTCATTGATTTTACTTGCGTCAAACATTACAAATTATGTATAATGTAATAAGCGCTGCGTAAAAAGGGACGGTTCCGTGTAATCATTTTATATTAATACGTAAACTTGTACATTCATTCAGTATTTATAATAAAAGGAAGGGAGTAAAACTTATGTCATAAAATAGACAATATAAAAATCAATAGTTGGTAGCGATGCATAACACTCTATTATATCAATTAAAATAAAATCGGAACAGTTTTATTTCAAATTTTGGTGACAGAACTGTCTCACATGGGTGGACATTTCGATCTTTTTTTATTTCAACAGGACGCTATGCTATGTCGGAACTAACTTCTGTTCGAGTTATTAAGAATTCATTGATTTTACTTGCGTCAAACATTACAAATTATGTATAATGTAATAAGCGCTGCGTAAAAAGGGACGGTTCCGTGTAATCATTTTATATTAATACGTAAACTTGTACATTCATTCAGTATTTATAATAAAAGGAAGGGAGTAAAACTTATGTCATAAAATAGACAATATAAAAATCAATAGTTGGTAGCGATGCATAACACTCTATTATATCAATTAAAATAAAATCGGAACAGTTTTATTTCAAATTTTGGTGACAGAACTGTCTCACATGGGTGGACATTTCGATCTTTCTTTATTTCAACAGGACGCTATGCTATGTCGGAACTAACTTCTGTTCGATAGCATGATCCATGCTTGACGGTTTCGACAGGTGAAGAGCATGAAATATTATACTGAAAATTCAATTTCTGAATTTTTTACCCACTACACGCTACCTCAAATTAATGAGGGAAAAAGTTGTTGCTGTTGTCACACCCCGCCGGGAATCGAACCCGGGACCTTTGGCTTTACGCACCAATGTTCTGACCACTAAACTACGAGAGGTGACAACAGTAACCACGACCAATCAACCTACAAGGTTAACGATCCGTCAAACTGATGTAACTATATACTGAATATATACTATGATTAAACATGCATACTTTGAATTTTCAGTATAATATTTCATATTAAACTAACTCACTTCTAAATAGATGTCTAAATTGTATCTATGTTTAGGTCAAGAGCATTTGTTCGAACAGATAACATAAAAATGAACAACAAATTAAATATTTTATTTAATAATCAAATTGAAACAAACAATTTCCTGTAGAAACTTCTTCTGGGTTCTTACCTACAAACGTTCCGATAGACGAAACGATAACCGTCAAAAATCCCCAAAAACTTCAAGAAGACCAACTGGATTTATCGAAACTCTCTCTTAGTATTGCTTGGTCGGAAGTCAAACTCGGACCGCCCGATCGTTAAATTATCGATTTTTATTAAACAACTCCCTTGTATATCATTCAATTCTGCACATATATTCGAAAGCAAATTATTTTCTAAATTTTATTGAAAATATATAGGGTTGTTCGGAAAGTCATTTCGTTCTTTTTTCTGGAAATGAAAGACAGTTTTCGTATAATAAACAAATAGTTTATTAAATTATATATTGACCGTTCTGGTCCAACACCTTTTGCCATCTTTCTGGTAGTAGCATAATTCCACGCTCATAAAATTTTTGGTCTTTGCTGGCAAAAAACTGATCGAGGAGGTTTTTGACCTCCTCATTTGAGGTGAAGGTTTTACCGTCTAAAAAATTTTGGAGTGACCGGAACAAATAATAATCCGATGGTGCCAGGTCTGGAGAATATGGTGGGTGTAGCATTGTATCCCATTCAAGCTGTAAAAGCTTTTGGCGAGTGACCAAACTTGTGTGAGGTCTCGCGTTGTCTTGGTGAAACACTACACCTTTCCTGTTGATTAGTTCTGACCTTTTCTGTTGAAGTGCATCATTCAGTTTGTCCAGCTGATGACAGTAGACTTCCGAATTAATCGTTGTGTTATCCGGTAAAAGCTAAAAAAAAACGATTCCTTTAAAATCCCACCAAACAGACAGCATCACCTTTTTTTGGTGAATATCGGCTTTGGAAATGGTTTGAGCCGGTTCATCTTTTTTGCTCCATGACCTCTTGCGTTTGACGTTGTTGTATACAACCCATTTTTCGTCCCCAGTGATGATGCGCTTCAAAAACGGATCATTTTCGTGACGTTTGAGAAGCGAATCGCAGACGTCAATGCGGCGACACAGATTTCTCTCTGTGAGAACATGGGGAACCCATACATCGAGCTTCGAGGATAATCCCAGGCCTTTCAAGTGGTCATAAACTGTTGAATTTGATAAATTTAACCTCAATCCGATCTCACGTGTTGTTATTCGCCGGTTCACATCAACTAATGCCTTTATCGCGTCTTTATCAGCTTCAACCGGCCTTCCCGAACGTGGTGCATCTTCGACATCAAAATTGCCGGATCGAAATTTAGCGAACCAGTTCTGGCACTGGCGTACTGTCAACACACCTTCTCCATACACATCAGTCAATTTCTTTCTGGCTTGAACAGCATTTTTACCCTTTCTGTAGTAAAACAGTAAGATATGTCGAAAATGCTGCTTATCGCTCTCCATATTTAAAAGGGCACCAACCAAAAACTACTGCGTAGAATTAATTGGAATTTTTCACACACAAGCCTTGCTATATGAGCTCTCAAAGCATATAAAAATTATACGGCTTAAATGTGAAGTTGGGTGCAAAAGAATACAATTAAATCCTCTGTCGGGAAAAAACGAAATGACTTTCCCAACAACCCGATATAATGTATCTACTAGATTTTTCATTTGATGATGTTGACAAGCTATTATTAGTGTTGATGTATAACTTTGCGTAATTTTCAGGAATTGTAAATAGAGGGGATTCCTTTAGAAGGCGAAAGTCGAGAAGCAACAGTGTATGTCCGCCTAACGGTGGTCCTGTGCCAAATGAGAAACAACAGCCAACTACGACCAATGAAGTGTCCAAATACGTAGTAGCATTAATAGGAGCACAAGGCGTAGGGAAAACGTCTCTAATCAGCCAATTTATGACTTCCGAATGTATAAACGCTTACGATAGTTCAAAAGGTAAGTGGATCAATCATATTTTTTAAATAAATTACACTATGTCACTGGTTATCTTCTTATGAAAAATTTTTTAAAAAAGGGTGGGGAATGAAATGCTGTTATTAATGTTTTACTGAATCCAACAATAAGGCTAGAATCGCAATTTATAAGGGGTGTTTACAGGGGGTGACAGGACACTATAAAACATACAACTTAAATGTTAGCTGTTACAAAAAGTCACCGTTCTCGAAAATAAAGTATTTGAAAGTACAATAACGAGTCAGTCCGGCTCTGGTAATTCTAGCAGCGTATTACAGTGCCGTATCTCCTTTATATTCATTTGCTCATGTACCTATTAGTTGTTATTTATTAGATTAGATTAAGTGTGATGCAAGATGATCATGTTACAGCTAACCTGTGGTAGTTTTTTGTTCTTTAAACGTTTTGACCTTGTATTTAAAAATCGATGTTCAGTTCACTAAACTCACTCAGTAGTACAGCAATCACTGGAGTAGGTCAGGATGCCACTATAGAATAGTTGTTTTTACAATATGTGATATAACACGTATATATGGGACTTAACCATATCGTCTCTGTGGAAGACGAAATTTTTGATTTCATAGAGGAGAACCCCCAAAGTAGTACACTTGCAGTTGCTGCATCCTTATCATTTGCAGCGAGTGCAAGTCTTGTAGGAAGCTGATTTTCAGACGCGGGTGGATTTGGGTTAGTGATTTCGACAAAAAAGTGCTGCAGATCTCAATTATTTCCACAGGGTCTTGTTTACTGACCGAGTTATTCTTCTTCTTTTATTTAAGAAGCAGTTCTCGTGTGGAAATTGTATACATAATCGATGACATATTTTTTTATTCCGGTTTCAAACTACGTAGCAATTAATGCTGGCGGCACATCTAACATTCCAGAAATGGACCAAATATCGAGAAATTAAAAAGTGACTCATAACATATTGCAGAAACAAATTTTGAAATCAACTAATATCCGTCCTTTTTACGACATCAATTGGTGGTGTACCAATACACAATTTTGTAAGTTATTTGTCGTCTCTGTTTAACATATACCACGCCGCGGTGTGGCGTAACCTGAAAGGTGCAGCATTAGTAATGTATGACGTAAGCACTTCTTATTTTTGCTTGTTTCTAACATTACAGTGGAACGTAACATTGCTTTCAGCATGTTGAGGCTTAATATAGCGACTAGAAATAAACGGAAATATCTATTTCGTCTCGCATATAGGTGGTACTATAAATGTTGTAGTTCTACCAACAATAATAGCCACTCTAAGAGAAAATGCGGAATAGGTTTCTAAAGTCGCTAGGAGATTGTTTTCGACCCGTTTTAGTTACGGAGAGAATGGATAATAAATTTACTACAGAAGGATATCACTTTTTATAGAGTACCTTATCAAGTTTACATAAATTTCATCAGTCTATATAAGGCATTATTTATTTCATCAGGAAGCGAAATTTTTTCGGAAAGCAAATTTGCAATTATCTTCATCGTAACAAAACCGTAAAAGCTTTTGATTTTGACAATGTACTAGATATTTTAGTATCATTAGGCAAAAACTCCGCATATAACAAAGCTTCTTGGGTTATGCGAAACTAACTGCTTATAAAATACTTTTAAGAACTATTAATAATAGTGGTTAATACATAATATTAATGTGAAACTTCGTTTAATTTTTATCTACTAACAATTACCTGAAATTAGCGAAGAACAATTGCAGCAGCTGCCACATTCTCGCCGAGAATCGAACCCGGGTCAGAGTAGTCAGAGCATTGCTACTTAAACATCCTGGGTTCGACTCCCGGCGAGGGCTGTAGCAATTTTTCTACATTAATTTAAGCAGCGACAATATTGACTACTTACAGCTTTAAATTATACGTTATATCAGGCCAGATTATTATTCAAAGTGATCCAGCACATACGCCAGAGCTTTTAGTGCATGGGTATTGGTCAACCTGGGCTCATCCGTAGTTATATCCTTGCTTTCTGATAACATTCGATTTTCTTTATTTATTTTGTATCGTTATAAACTTCGACAGTTATTTTGCGAGGTAAATTTAAACCGTTCGAACATTTCACGTAAACTCAATAATTTCAAGTACTTCTTAAAATATCCACCAGGTTTATGTTTTCCAACTGCCTATTGCTTATTCATGCGTATACTTATACGTCAATAACCTACTCAGCATGTTCATTAATAGCGTATTTACTGGACGAAATAAAGAAGCTGCACATTCAATGGAGACCACACCGATCAATTTATGATTTTCCGTTCGTTTTCATCTGCTTCCATGACGATTTCGTAATTTTGACACTGAAATGTTCAAGCACATTAACATCACCTAACGTACACAAAAATATTTCTGGATGATTATTTGCTAAATTCTAGGGCACGTTTACGTTTTCATCAGGTTCTAATTCGGAGATATAATCTAAACATTCAAAAAACTTATGACAAATTATGAAACTTAGGAGCCGAATGGTTTTAGATGAACAAGTTCTCACTGTCATCTAGACTTCTAGACGACGGCAGGCAACTATCCGTCATATATCCACCAAAATGAAAACAGAAGAGAATGAAAGATTATCTATGGAATATTACTGCCCCAGCATTTACCTTAGTCATCCAAGGAAACCACAGAAAAACTTATTGGACCAAGACAGTCGAACCCGGAATTGAACTGGCGTCCTCATGACTGTTAAGCAATGGTCTAAACCAGAGCCGGGCAAACATATTGAAGGGTATGGAGTGATCCAAACTAACCTCAGGTAGCGATTCCTAATTCCTACGAAGTTAAAGTTTGCCCGACTCTGGTCTAAACCTTTAGGTCATGCCGCTCGGTCAACCAGAGGTTTACGTATCTGAACAAATACATGTGTTGAAATGGAAGTACAGTCGAACCTGGTTAAGTGAGAGCTCAATGGACCGCGATCTGTTTCTCTCTTATAGAGGTTTCTCACTAATCCGAGTTTCTAGCTTACAGAGTTATAGGAGGAATTTGTCTCACTTATAGAGGTCTACAAGAATACAGTTCGACAACACATTGAGTTTTCGTTTAGACATTATGAGGAAGTGCAGGACCTTTCTTCGCAACTGCTTTTATGAACTGACTGTAATAAGATTGATAAACAAGTCGGTACGCACATTTGACTATAATAAAAATAATAAAGACTTACTCGGTCATTCGCAGATTTGGTCATTCGAATGAAATAAGAGTCTCTTGAAATTTAAGAACGAGTCATAAAATAGGAAAAGTAAACTGTCGCTTATAGAGGCATAGACAAGTAGCAATATCACNGCACATTTGACTATAATAAAATAATAAAGACTTACTCGGTCATTCGCAGATTTGGTCATTCGAATGAAATAAGAGTCTCTTGAAATTTAAGAACGAGTCATAAAATAGGAAAAGTAAACTGTCGCTTATAGAGGCATAGACAAGTAGCAATATCACTTAAAGAGGTTCATGCATGAAAAATGACTGTCACTTATACAGGTTTTATACAACAGCAGAGTAGAAAATATTTGTTCAAGATGCAGTTGGTCATAATGGTTGTTAATTTGTGGTACTGTATATAAAATATGACCAACTTTAACACTGACTTTCGGAAATACTGTCTAAACTTGTTGGAACGGTCCCTTGCCTGCGATATAAATGAATAAATTCACCACGTTTGTACCCATTTACATACATTAAAAGAAAAGACTCCCCCAAATGAGCCGTCCTCGGTTAAAGTTACTTCCTAACGTTTTGCTAGCATGAGTGTCGAACTTCCTCAGAAGTCCTTCGATCTCAGATGCAGGATGTGGACTCAGGAAGGAAACTTTAAATCCGAATCAGGACAGCTTCAGAAAAACTCTCCATCTTCCACTTCTCCTTGCTGCCAAATTCACTAAATAAAATCTAATCGTACAATTTCCAAGTAGCAATCATTTTCTAATCTCTCTACGCTGTATTCTGGAATTGACTAGACATTATTGCATAAATTCGCTCCTTCTCTCTGTACACCGCTTTAATGTGCCCACTCGTAAGTATCACGTCCTCATCTATCTAGTCGCCGTTAATCTCATCCTTAACCTCACCGCTCCAATATAATCGCAGACTTCCGTTAGAAACAATCCTGACGAGTATATTGCAAGTAGACCATTCGTGGTTCGTAGACTCGTAGTAAATGCATTCATGTGCCATAACTCGTAAATAAATACTGCGGACGCAACGAAGTTTAAGTAAGGTAAAGCTGAAAGCAGAGGTACAAATGTACCTTGAACGTCTGAAAGTAATTACAAAATTTTTACCGTCTTGTCGAAAGTATCATCGAATAAGTGTCTCGTTATGCTTTGCGTTAGTTCCTTCTTCAATATTTTCTGGAATTGCTCTTCTATATCCCAAGTGATGATTGACACGTTATACCGTACCCCATTTTTATGGAACGAGCGTAATCTGTTGATCTTCGAATTTTTGGGAAAATCGACATCGAAGTTTTTTTGATAAACCAAATTCATCATCATATGGTCGTCAGTCCTAAGATTGTTTAGGCACGCACCTCTACTCTTTACTGTCCCGAGCTAATCTTCGCATTTCCCTAAAACTAGAACATCCCACATCCTTAATTATTTGCGAACAGTAATCTAATCTTGGTCTATCTCTACTCCTGTAAACTCATGTTTCTGCCTCTAATATGTCCTTGACTAAACCTTCATGCCTGAGAAGGTGTCCTACCAATCTATCTCGCTTATTTCGTATTGACTTCCATAGAGTCCTCTGTTCTCCTATTCTTTCTAATACCTCTTCATTTCTAACCTGTTCTATCCACGTTATCCTCATCATTCGCCTGTAACACCACATTTCGATCGCTTCTAACCTTTTCTTTTCCACTGTTCGTTCGATCTTGGTTTTAGTCTTCGTCTTGTTCGTTCGGTTTTGGTTTTAGTCTTGCTCTTGTTCGTTCGGTTTTGGTCTTGCTATTTTCTTACATTTTCGTAAGACCAAGGC